GCCCGGGGGCCGGGCAGGGGCTGGGGTGTATGGGGTTCCCTGTTGCTGTGGCAGGGCACAGCCCTCGTTAGCTCCTCACCCACTTCCTGGGGCAGAAGGAGTCTGAGTGCTCTCCTCTCCCCATGACCTCTCCATTCTCCCGCCCCCACCCCGGGCCTCACCCGACACTGGTACCAAGCCTCTGCTTCCGCTTTGCTGCGACTGGCAATGTCGTCATATTGGGCCTTGATCTCGGTGATGATGCTGTCCACATCCAGCTCCCGGCTATTGTCCATCTTCACAATGACCGAGGTCTCAGAGATCTGAGACTGGAGCAAGCAGATCTCCTGGGGGTGGGGTCCAGGAGAGAAGGTGTGAGCTCTCCCAGGGCGCAGGGCCAGGAGACGTGGGGAGCCTGCTCTGACTCTCCTGCAGAAGGTTTTCACAGAACTCTGCTGTGGCTGTTTCGGGCTTCTATCATCAGTAGGCTCCTTGGTCCCACCCTCTAGTTACCCGGTGCATGGCAGACACTTCCCCAGAGGGACCCACGAGCCAAGGTCCTGGACGATCTGACTTCTGGGAGTCTCATTGCCTGAAAATCACCTCTCCGGTGCTGACCTCTTTTTGTGCCTTCCCTGAATTGTGCCTGCTGGGCAGCCGCCTCCCACCTCGTTTCTCCCTTGGTGCCGTCCCCTGATGGACCACCCGGAGGGCAGCGCCACTGGTACCTCCTCATACAGGCCTTTCAAGAAGTCGATCTCCTGCACCAGAGCCTCCGCGTTGGTCTCCAGGTCAGCTTTCATCAGGAAGGCTGTATCCACGTCCTGCAGCACAGCAGGGACAGAACCGTGGTCTGGCTGGAGCTGGGCAAAGGCCACGCCCGCCACCAGCCAGGCCACCTCCCAGGGTCCACCTTTCCTTACAGCCCATAGGGAAGGAAGGGGTGAGGGAGTCAAGGTGGGGGAAGGGGCCCTCGTCCTGGGACCCCTGCCTGGCATCCTGATGAGAAGAATCGGAAGGGGTTAAAGGAGCCTTGGACATGGCTTCTCAGAGCCTGGGGTCTGGAAATAGCTGGCTCCCCGTCTGAGGCATCATGGCGATTGCTTTCTTGTTTGGGGATTTGTGTCAGAGCTTTTCTTTTGGGTTTTGCTTTGTCATCAGCCCCATCTCCAGCCACTTGGGCAGGGGTAGACATGACTCTTACCCAGCTTTGGCACCTGTGAGTGGGGAGGGGTGAGCCAGGCTGATCACTGACCTTTTGCTAGGAGGATGGGCGAGAGGAGGCTGACCTTCCTCCTTCCTGGGTCAACAGGCCTGGCACAGGGGTCTAAGGGGCAAGAGACCCTTTCATGGGGTGGGTGGGCTGCACACACGTTTGGACACTGCAGGGCTGAGTGACCTGGCACTAGGTGGGCTCGCTCAAGGCTTCTGCCTCCCTGAGCGCCCTCCCTCACCTTCTTCAAGGCGACAAACTCGTTCTCGACACAGGGGCGCAGGGCGAGCTCCTCTTCATACCTGATGGAACGGACAGGAAAAACGCTTTAGTGGACTTGTGGGGTTTGGAAGAGGTCTTGGTGTCAGGCCTTTGAGGGCAACTCTGCCTGTCACCGACTGAACATCCGGGGAGTCCCCATGTCCAGCCCTGCCTCTGGACAGCTCTAGTCCCTCCACCTGCTCAGGGCAGATGATGAATAGCGTGGCTTCTCACAGTCACTTTTCAAGAAGGCTGTTCCTAAGATGAGTCCTTCTCTAGGAAGTCCTCCTGAAGGCTACCTTTTCTCTGTCTTGCTGCTGAGAAAGCCCACTTCTCAGCAGCAAGGTGGAGAAAGGTTGTGCAGCTGGTCCTGCTGTCTTTTCTTTCTTTATTTTGTTTGAGTCAGGGTCTCATTCTGTCACCCAGGCTGGAACACAGTGGCATGTTCATGACGATCGCAGCTCATGGCAGCCTCAACCTCCTGGGCTCAGGCGATCCTTCTGCCTTAACCTCCCAGGTAGCTGGGACTACAGGTGCATGCCACCATGCCTGGCTAATTTTTGGTGGAGTTGAGGTTTTACTATATTGCCCGAGCTGGTCTTGAACTCCTGGGCTCGAGCAATCCTCCTGCTATGGCCTCCCAATGTACTGGGGTTACAGATGTGAGCCACCACTGTCTTTTCTGAGTCACCGGCTGGCACCCATGGCTCCTCCTCGAGAGGGGGTTCTGAGCTTGGCCCCTCATCACAGAGGTAGCAATTACTTTACCAGACCCACAGAGATAGCCTGGCGATCCCTCCAAGCTCCCTGGGGCTCCTCAGCCCACTCACTTCTCCCCGAGGGCCAAGGGCAGCAGGATTGAGGCTTTGGTCTGGCCGGGATGACTCAGTCTGCCCTGCAGCATGGGTCCACTGAGAGCTTCCCTGTGCCTCCGGATGCCTAGTCCCCATTTCCCGCAGAACTGCTGGAGCCCTGGCCCTGGACGCCAGAGCTTAACCTCTGGGTTCGAATCCCGGCTCTGCCCTGTGCTTGTTGTGGCCAAGTCGGGTAAGTGACACGGCCTGTCTAGGCCTCGTCTGTCTCAGTCTCATCCTTACAGGCTGTGGAGAGTCAACTTACCACATGTGTATCAACAAAGCACTGGGATGGTGCCTGCCCGGGCTCAGTGCTGGGTGTTTGCTCTTACTGGTAAAGTACCAGTTTGAGCTCATCTTGCTCCTACTGCCCTGCTTTTAAAAGCCACAGTTCCCCTCTTGAACCTCAAATCATGTCTCCCGATCTCACCTTACTACTTATTCCTCAAGAAAGTCAAATCATCGTTCTTGCCGAGAGGCTGGGCCTCACCCCTCCCACAGCCTCACCTGTCAGTCTGCTAGCCGTCCCCCTCACTTAGCACACTGACTCTTCCTTGTCACCTGCTCCTGTGTCTTCCCTATTTCCAGGGTCTACCATGGGTTCCCCTTTTAGAAGAAGCCATTGGGATGAAAGTTATTGTTCAAGGCCCAGAAAAATGGCACCTCCTCCAGGAAGCCTTCCTGGGCACCTTCGGCTCTCTCCTTCTCCTGGGATTTCTCTTCCTTTCTGCTGTGTGTGGTGTTGTGGCTGTGTGTATATGCAGGTGGTCTGTCATACTTGACCGGGGCATCTTAAAGGAAGGAGCCAGCCTTTTCTCCTTCTGTAGCACCCATACTTCCCAGCACAGTGTCTGGCATCAGGCAGGCACATGGTTGGCCCTTATACCATGAATGTCCCCAGTGTGGCTGCACTCCACAGACATCCCCAAGGACTATTGTTCTTAGTATATTTTCTTCTCAGTGGAAAGGCATCTATCTCAACCCTCCCTACCAACATGCACTCCCACGGGATCCTGACTCCCACGGGGTCCTGACTCCCTTGGGACCTTGTATTCTCATGGAGCCCTGAATTCCCAGGGGGCCCTGAATCTCACAGAACCCTGGGATCCCATGGGGCCCTGGGCCCAGGACTTGTGAAGAAATTCATCTGGGCCCCAGCCTCCTGGGAGCATGGCTCTCCAGGCCAGCAAGCCCTTAATTACTATCTGCTTAGCAACCACCTACTCCAAGCTGTGAATCAGACCTCAGAGCTTGCCCTCAGGGGGATCAAGTGTGGCAGGATGGGAAAGAGCTCCGATAATGGGTGGGTGGGCGAGGTGATGATTTTCAACAGCGACATTGCCAGGGAAGGGACGCAGGAAGCCAGAGTCAGGGTGAGAGAAATGTCAGTAGTGCTAGCCTGGATGTAGTGAGGAAAGTTGCTGAGAGGGATTTTCTCAGGCCCAATAACCAGCAGGGGCACAAGCCTGGAGGGACAAGGTGTGGGAAGGGCTTGGGGAAGAAGGAGTAGCTCAGGGTCTGCAAGGGGACTGAAAAAAGGCAGAACAGGCAGTTGGAGCGTACCTGGAGCTCTGGAAATGGCCGACGACAGCTTGCTTATTTAGAAGGCGTGATGGGGAGGGAGAGGAGGACCATGCACCGTTCAGAGCTTCCTCCCGCCCTGTGCCAAGAGAGGTGCTTGCCCACCTTGTCCCGCCTAACTCTTGTTTTAGGCTTCCCATTTTAGAGATGGTGAGCCGAGGCCCGGGCTGTTTCCATGGCTCATTCACCCTGAGCCCCCCGGCGGGGTGAGAGCGGAGCCCACTCACTTTTTCTTGTAGCTCTCCAGGGTGTCCTGGAGGCTGCAGAGCTCCGACTCCAGCCTTGTGTGGTCCCCTGACACACAGTCCAGCTGCCTCCGCAGGGCGCAGATATAGCCCTCAAAGAGGGGCTCCATGTTGCTCTGGCAGCATCCCTGTTGCTGTATGAAGTTCCACTTCGTCTCCAGAAGCTTGTTCTTCTGCTCCAGGAACCGGACCTGCCACCAAGAGTGGGATGTCAGCAGGCAGCGGGGGCCCCGGAGACCGCCGTCCGGGGAGGGCGGTGGAATGACTTGTGCCCCCTCGGCCAATGCACTTGAGTTTGCAAAAATCAGAGTCTGGTTTCTGAGGAGACCCACTGCGGACCCGGAGTCTGGTCCTTGTTCTGGTCCAGGGGGATCAGGAAGAGACATATAACGAGGAAGCCACAGTTTATCCGTTGGCCTCTCCCGCGTTCTATGACCACTCACCTTTGAAAGCTGGTTCGATCAGACCCTCCACTCAATGTTTCTGCTTCCTAGTTCTTTCTTTCTTTTTTTAAAATATGTTCTCTCTCTTTGGATATCATCTGACAAAATCTCCAAGGTTGCCCAAGATCAGACTGTAGGAGGAACTTTCAAGGTAATCCTGAAAGGAATGACCAGAGAGGCAGGGAAGTGCCCTTTCTGATGAGGCTTTAATTAACAGTGGAACTGCCTTCCATGTGCCTGAGCTGGGTCAACACTCTTAAGCCTGGGGGCGAGGATGGCTGCTGTGACCCCAGAACCTGCCATCAGTTTGGGCCAGGGATGAGGAAATGAGTTGTGCCCCCTTGGCCAATGCACTTGAGTTGTACCCCCTTGACCAGTGCACTTGAGTTTGCAAAAATCAGGGTCTCTACAGAGATGGGCACCCGAGAGTATGTGACCCTGTCTCCCCTGCCTGGGCCACCAAGCTTCCCCTGTCATCCCTCAGCTGACCCTAGGCCTGTCTCCACACCTCAAGGAGGCTCTTGCGGTCAGGGCACATGCCGAGGTCTGAGCCAGTGTTTCCGGTGACTCCAAGGTTCAGGGGTAGGAGCCCTCCGGGAGCTTAGAGAAACCCTATCTTCCACTCAGCAGTTGCATGCTGTAACTGCTTCTCCAAGAGGCCTGGAAAAGGCCCATGGTCCAGCCCTGCCTGCCTCTCACTAGCCTTGTGACCTTGACCGAATCATCCCATCCCTTCAAGTCTCACTCTGCTTCCCAAAGTGCCTCCTCAGGACTGGCTGTGGGAACTCACTTTATAAATATTCACATGAATATAAGGATGTGGGATGCTTGGGCTTTGAAGTTGTTCTATTATCTGAGAGTTGGGTCTCACTCTGTGGCCCAGGCTGAAGGGCAGTGTCGTGACCAGGGTTCACTGCAGCCTCGACCTCCTGGGCTCAAGCAATTCGCCTCTTTCTCAGCCTGGGATGCGCTACCACACCTGGCGAAGTTTTTGATTGTTTTTTGTAGAGATAGGGTCTTGCTATATTGCCCAGGGTGGTCTCCAGTTCCTGGCCTCAAGGGATCCTCCTGCCTCAGCCTCCCAAAGTGCTGAGATTATAGGTGTCAGCCACCATGCCTGCCAGTGAGACTTTCTTTTATCGCAGCTGAGGGGCACTTGGGGGGAAGGGCTGATGGAAGGTTTTGTCCTAGGACGCAAAGCTCTTTTCTCCTACCTGCTGCATCTTGCAAGGCTGTTTTGGAACAAATTCTAGGTCATGGTCATGTGGATGACTGCCGGCCCAACTCCTTTCCTTTTGCAGGTTGAAAACTGAGATTAGGAGTTGAGTGAGTTGACCAAGGCCACCCGCTAGTTTGTGGGCAAAGGGAACCTGGTCTCCTGTCCTTGCTATAGGATTTTCCATATTCTGCATGTTTTTTTTTTGAGTTGGAGTCTCACTCTTGTCGCCCAGACTGGAGTGCAGTGGCACACTCACGGCCACCGCAGCCTCGACCTGGTGGACTCAGGCGATCCTTCTGCCTCAGCCTTCCAAGTAGCTGGAACTACAGATGCATGCCACCATGCCCAGCTAGCTTTTATGATTTATTGTAGAGACCAGGTCTCACCAAGTTGTCCAGGCTAGTCTCGAACTCCTGGGCTCAGGCGATCCTCTCGCCTCGGCCTCCCAAAGGGCTGGGATGACAGGCTGAGCCACGGTGCTTGGCCTATATTCTGCATCATGAGAAAACTGTGGAAGAAGTAATGTCCTACTTCTGGTCACTGGTCCCATGGGCAGGAGGCTCCATTCCTTCAGAGGGTGGCCCAGTGCTGGTGATGACCAGGGCCCCCAGTGTTGTTGGAATGGGATTCTAGCCAGAATTTCATAAACTTTGAAAATAAAGCTGCTAAGAGTGACTGAGTGAGATCTTCCATGTGAGGGCAAGGTCGCCGAGGCTGAGAGGTGAGTGGCTGGCACAGGGCCTCAGGGTTACAAGAGCAAGGCTCAGACCTTGGAAGGTCTCCTGACCCCATGAGCCTCCCTGGAGTGTGGGGGAAGGCTCGGGGCAGCTGAGGGACGATAGCCTAGTTCAGCACCTTCTGGAGATGACACCTCATCCTCCCCTGCAGCCTCTCAGTGTCTGGCCCTGGGGTTGACAGAGGTGAGGCTTTCTTGATGGTCACCTTGTGCCTCTGGCTCTGACGGCTCCATTTTTTCCCCATCCCTGGCCCAAACTGATAGCAGGTTCTGGGGTCACAGCACCCATCCTCGCCTCCAGACTTAAGAGTGTTGACCTAGCTCAGGCACATGGAAGGCAGTTCCACTGTTAAAGCCTCATCAGAAAGGGCACTTCCCTGCCTCTCTGATCATTCCTTTCAGGATTGCCTTGGAAGTTCTTCCTATAGTCTGACCTCGGGCAACCTTGGAGATTTTATCAGATCTCCAAAGAGAGCGGACATATTAACAAAAAAGAACTAGGAAGCAGAAACATTGAGTACAGAGTCTGACCAAACCAGCTTTCAAAGATTAGTGGTCGTGGAACATAGGAGAGGCCAATGGATAAACTGTGGCTTCCTCATTGTCTGTCTCTTCCTGATCCTCTTAGACCAGACCCCGGGTCTGCTGTGGACCTCCTCCCACGGCCCTGGACCACCTGGTGGTCCCTCACCTTGTTGATGAAGGCTGCAAAGCGGTTGTTGAGGCACTTGATCTGCTCCTTCTCATCCCTCTTCACCCTCTGCACGGTCGGGTCGATCTCCAGGGCCAGCGGGACCAGCAAGCTCTCGTTGATGGTGACAGGTGTGATACAGGTAGAGGGCCCACAGGCGGCACCCACTCGGTACCCGAAGCCAGGCAGGCCACACCTGGAGGCCACCCGCTGCCTCCCAAAGGCCATATTGCAAAGGCTCCGGGAGCCAAGGCAGCCCAGAGCTCGGAGGCCCCCATGGCCCCCAGGCCGGCAGGGCAGTTTGCTCACTGCGCATTGGGTGACCACGCGCGGCATGACAGCCGAGTACGAGCTGAAGCTCCGGCTGCCACATCTGGAGCCCGGCTGGAAGGAGCGGCAGGACATGGCGGGAGTGAGGCAGAGTGACAGGCCCTGCAGGGAAGGATGGGGCAGGAATGGTCAGGTCACGGCTCAGCATCCCCGCTTTTATCTGGCAGGGGGTGGAGGGCTGAGCCGGGTCAAACCCCAAATCACCATTAAGTCAGGTTTATGAGCTTGGGCTATCGGCAGCGCTGAGTAGCCCGGTGGATAATTATGGTATCGAAGGGCAAGGAGACAGGGCCAATGGCCGGCGCTGGGGGGCCCTGTAAAAATCCTCCTGTCCTCTTTCCTGGATGAGGGGAGCAATGAGGGAGTTCAGCCAGCCAGACATGTTTGATGTACCCAGTGGTTCAGCCTCAAGGAAAGGGAGATCACGACCTCCGTCATTTTATGGGAGGGAAGAGGGCATAAATTATATAGCCCCAGCTCCCCTGGGGTTAGAGGGCAAATCCCATGCCCCTGGAGAGGCTCTGTCTGCTTCCCCAAGGCCGCCTCTACATTTTCCTGTGGATTCTACAGACTCAAGAGCCCTCTGTGGGCCTCTAGGAGAGCCTAGAAGTTCCTAGGGAGGAGGCTTTTATGTGAGGAAGCTTCCCGCAGCAGGCTGGGCCTTGCCTCTCCTCAGGACAAGCAGGGTCCTGGCTCTGACTCAGTTTCTCCCCATCCCACCAGGGGTCGGGAGGGTAGAGAGACACCAGGTGCAGATACTGCTCTCTTGGGGCCCATCCATTCACAAAGGCCACAGGGGACTCAGGAGCGGGAGACCTGTACTTGAGGAGGGGAGGGGAAGGGATACTGCCCACAGGGTGATGTCAGCATTAGGTCGGGGGTTCCACGTGGCCATTCCTTTCCCCTGTCCCGCCCCTGAGGTACACAGAGCCTGGTCTGGCCTGAGAACATCTCTGGGGACAGTCACTGCCCTCAGGAATTTCCAGGTGAGGGGAGCCACAGGCACAGTTCTTTGAAGGTGCACCCTTTTCCATTCTCTCCCCATCCCTTTTCCGTCAATCTCGTCCATGCAACCTCTGCTGTGACTGGCTGACCTTGCCATTCCACACGGAGACTCAGACTCCTTTCCAGGTCAAAATCAAGCCAGTAATAACAATAATAATAGCACCACACAGTGGGTGTCTACTGTGCTGGGACCACCTGGGCTCTCGACCTCCATTGTCTCATGGAATTCCATGATCACACCTCGATGTAGTTACTACATTCCAGGTGAGGACAGTAGGAGCTGAGCAGTGAGCAGCTGTGCCCCGTGTCACATGGCTTTGGGAAGTCGGGTGAGATTCACCTCTCTTCCTCCTGCTTTCGTCCTGCTCTGTAGCTGTGGTTGACAGAGGCCTGCATGAGGAGCCGGGAATCTGCCATCCACACATGTCATTCATGTCATCTCTGTCACCTACAGCTTTCCCATCTATGGAGCAGGAAATGGGAACCCAAAGGTTTCCCAAGCATTGGAAATGCTCAGTCTAATGGTGATATTTCTTATGGTCCCCTTTTCATAGTCCCTAGGAGGTCCCAGAGTTGTGGAGAAGGGAGGGGGGTAACAAGAGACCGACCATGGGCACTGGTGGGAGGCAGAGGGTGGGTGTGAGGGTGGGTGCTATTGCAAGGTGTGCAGGGAAGGAGGACCTCGCTCCGCTCCGGTGTGGACATCACCGAGGCAGGTCCAGGGAGAGTGTAACGGGGATGGGGCGCTGACCCAGCCAGAGAGCAAATTCCCGCTAGAGGGAGGACTGAAAGGGTGGCAGGGTTCACTGCAGCGACATGGACACAGCAGAGCCACCGTGTCCAGGCCAGAGGATGGTCTCAGTGACCATGTTGGGCTCCCCAGAGCCCAGGATCAGAACTTGGGAGCAGAGGGCGGGATGGTTCACTGGACTCATGGCCTGTGCACAGAGCCTAGCAAGTCCAACATTGCTCCCGAGTGTGAGACGGCACACAGACTCAGCCAAGCCCTAGAGAGCTTGATGACATACATTGCAGCTATTCCAGGAAGAGGAGAGCATGAGGGAGCTGGCAGTTCAGAGGGTCCGACCTTTTTTCTGACGCAGTGAAATGTCTTCACGTCAGCAGTGTGATAGACTATCTCTACTTGCCTCTGGAATGTGCTTTGGTCTTGAACACGTGGCAGGTGTTTTGAGGCTTTATGACTCTTTGGATTAAATAGGGAAACCACTCTGTGAAGGCCAGCCCACCCCCTGCTCCCCCTCAGCTTCCCCACATACTGCGTCCTTCTGGGGCTGAGCAACATAATCCCTGAGAGAGAAAGAGGAAGAATCGCTTCTCTCTCCTCTGAGTTTGCTATCTTGGGCTCTACCTGGGGTATGTGGTGTCCTGGCTTACAGAGCTCTGGGCTTACAGCCAGGGCTGGGGACAGGTAAATCCAACGGGACTGACATTCAGAGGCAGAGGGATAGAAAGATTGGAAGAGGAAGAGCAGGAAATGGATTGTCAAGTGGAAAGAATGAGGGAGGAAGAGAGGAACAGAGGATAGGAGAAGACAAAGAGGGAGGAGGCATGCAGGTAGGAGAGATGGGTAGAATAGGAAATGAGTGCAGAAAGAAGGTGGAAAGGGCAAGGTAAAAAGGAGGGAGAACGTTCCAGAAGAGAGGTGTGGCTAGCACAAGGGAGGAAGAAAAGTCCTGAGCCCAGGGGACAGTCTCGCAGGGCTCTCCCGGGGCTGTTCTTTTTTTAATAGTTTTTTAAAAATTCAATAGCGACCAAGCTTGCTGACTCAGCCTGTAAGCCCAGCACTTTGGGAGGCTGAGGTGAGAGGATTGCCTGAGGCCATGGGCTTGAGACCAGCCCAGGCAATTTGGCAAGATCTCATCTCATCAATAAATAAAAAATTAGCCAGGCGTGACAGTGTGCGCCTGTAGTTCCGGCTACTTGGAAGTCTGAGGCAGAAGGATTACCTGAGCCCAACAGGTCGACACTGGGGGGGCCGAGAGTATGCCATTGCACTCTAGTCTGGGCAATGAAGTGAGACTTCAACTCAAAAAAAATAATTCAATAGCTTTGGGGGGTACATATAGTTTTGATGTGGGTTTTAAGAGTACCCACCACCTCTACCCGTGCACATTGTACCCAACAGGTGATTTTTTTGTTCCTCCACCCCCTCCCCCCACTTCTGAGTCTCCGGTGTCCATTCACATCATTCTCTATGCCTCTGAAGATCCTTCGTTTAGCTCTCCCTTAGAAGTGAGAACATGTGGTGCTTGGTTTTCTGTTCTTGCGTTAGTTCACTTAGGATGATGTTCTCCATTCCATCCAAGTTGTTGCAAACAACATTATGTTATCCTTTTTGATGGCTGAATAGTATTTCATGGTATATATCTACCATTTTTTAATCCACTCATCGGTTGATGGGTGTTTAGCTTGCTCCCACATCTTTACGATTGTGAATTGGACCGCAATGAACACGCGGTCACAGGTATCTTTTTCATATAATGACCTCTGCTCCTTACGGTAGATACCTATTAGTGGGATTGTTGGATCAAATGGTAGATCTATTTTTAGTTGTTTGAGAAATCTCCATTCCGCTTTCCATAGAGGTTGTACTAATTTGCATTCTCACCAACAGTGGCTAAGTGTGCTCACAGGGCTGTTCTTAATATGGACTGATTAACATGGGATTCCTCTTCCTGGTGTGTTTCTTGCAAATGTCTTGAGCTGAACTACCTCTGCCACACCTGCCCACGAGTCTGCCTCCCAGCCCCTCACCATCGGATCATTTCTGCTTAGGGCCAGTACTCCTAAAGTTGGCTGAAATGAGGCAAATTTGGGAGGAACTTGGCTGTGAATGCTCGCTGGCCATAGACAACTTTTGGGTTCTTGATCAAATCATTCTATTCTATTATGAAGAATCAGGAGTTGGTCCTATTTCGAAGGATGTTGATTTCTCTTTCAAATATTCTGCGGGTAGGAGTTGTCAGGGGTTGTGGCTGGGGCCTGGAAAGGGACAAGATTGAAGATGGGGAGGCGGTATGTGTGGTGAGGTTGGCCACGACGTGTCCTGGTCTCAGGGCCCAGCGGGTACAGTGTCCTGTCTGTGGTGAGAAACAACAAGCATGGGAATTTGGGCCTGGACTACATTCAACCTCTTTGTGGCGTCATGGTCAAGTCTAAGGTCCCCGTGAAGGACTGAGCAGGAGCAGTCATCTCGTGGTTGCTGTGACTCTGGGTCAGACAGGAGGAGGAAGACCCCACTGCACCCCCAACTCTGAAAGCTACATAAGGGCAAAACCCTACTCGGGTCTTGGCACAGAGCACTTGAGGTAGTGTTGGCTGGAGTGGATGCCTATGGATCCTGGAGGGATCCGAGATTAGGAGTGAGGAGGGTACCTCTGTAGGGATGTGTGTAGAGGCAAAGGGATGGACAAAATGACCTCATAGGCCACCTCCTGCTCCCTGTGGCTCTTGCTGGGGATATTGGGCATGAGGTGTCAGCAAAGCTTCAGGTCTCAGGGCTGGGAAGCCTGATGGGTCTGGGGGTAGGCAGTTGGGGCAGGTGGGGAGCTTAGTGCCTGTGAATTCTTGGTGGACAATATTTAAGAGATAATGAATACGATGGAGCTGCTACCACCGACACTGCAACCACTGAAGGGGCTGAAGCTGCTGTTTCTGCTGGTAGAGCAGAGGTCACTGCTGTAGCTGCCTCTGCCTCCACAGAGGCTGCCACCACCACTGTGGTCTGTGTTCCCATAGTAAGAGGCCACGGCTGTGGAGAAAAGGCACATGGCACATGGCAGGGTCTTATCCTCGTGCCTGCCCCCTCCCATGACACCTTGCTCCAAACAATCCTCCCTGCAAAGAGAGCAAGGGTTGTACCCAGGGTCACACCAAGGCTTTAGGTTCCCGTGCTGCTAGGAGGCTCTCATATTGGATGGAAGATGAGGCCTCAAACAAGGGAGCCATTAACTTCTATGACGAAAGAGTTCTGAAGGCCACCTGTACAAACCCCTCCCAGGATCTAAACCCCTTTGACTGCATCACTGAGATGCAATTGTTCAGCTTCTGTCTAATACTTCCAGTAATGGGTGCTCCCTTCTTGGGCTGCAGCCCTGCAAGCCCATCCGGCATGTGGAGAAGTCTCTTTGACCTCCTATTTCTCCATCTGCTTCTCCTGGTGGAGCATTCCTGCCCCTTTTGTGAGTTCATTTCAGGCTCTCCTCCCTTCTTGGTTGGTCTGACCTACATGGGTCCCAGGGGGATTTTGCTCCCATGACCAGGAGTAAAATATGGGCCATCAGCAGTGCTCCCACTAATGACACCAAATCCTCATCGGTGATGCTATTAGCTTACATTCTGCCTTCTACATTTCTATGCTCCCAAGACTTTTACTCACAGAGGTTCACGGGCCCCTTACCTTCTCCAGTGAGTCTGTGGCAGGTAGGGGGATAAAGAGACATTGTGCTTGCTGAGAGGTTCCAGAGCCTTGAGTTCTCCATATTTAGTGTTACCAGCACAGAGCGCTTACTGTGTGCTGGGCGCTGTGCTTAGGAAGCCCTCCATTCAGCCCATGAGCCTTAGGAAGTGGATGTGAGCATGTGGGAGGGACCTCAAGAGAGATCAGGTCAAAAACACAGAGAGAAATAGGGAGGGGGGCCATGCCAGCAAGGCAGAGCAAGATGGTCATATTGTAGGGCATCCTTGGGGACATTCAGAGCCTCTGAGGCTAGTACTGACTGTGGCAGCATTTGCTGGAGGACCTGGGCAGAAGTGGCCTTGCTTAGGGCCTCCAGGTGGTCAGGGGCCACCTGTCCTTGACACTCTTGACTCTGACCCTTGCCCTGGATCCAACAGGTGTGGGGACTGAGACTCCAGGATGCTTCCAAGGGAGAAGCGGTCACATCTTAACCCTGTTTCTGACCTGGGAATTTCTACCTGGGGCTGACTCTATAGGGCTCGTGGGGCCTCTGTGGCATTGCTGTCCTGCTCTGGTGGCATCTACTTGGGCCATGGTCAGAGGAGAGGGAGGCCCACCTGCACTCTTCGCCTTCCACCAGCTTATGCTAGGTGGTGACTTTGTTGTCCAGGCCCCACTTGACGTCCTTGAGCTCCTGGTCCTCATGCAGCAGCCGCACCATGTCCTGCTTGGCCTCCTGCAGGGCCACCTCCAGCCCTTTCAACTGGTTCCTGGGGTCCTAAAGCTGCCAGCTCCCCACAATGCTTGGCATCTGCAATGGCAGCCTGGAGTGCCACACACTGCCAGGAGGTGACGAGAGTGTGTGGTATCGTGTACAGAGAATGCAAAGATGTGGGCTTTGGGTTGAACACTTGGAAGCATTCCCTCAAGTGGGCTCAATGCAAAGGACGTAAGATTCTTCATCCTTAGAGGTGAGATTCAGCAGGGTGCGGTGGCTATAATCCCAGCAGTTTGAGAGGCTGAGGTGAGAGGATTGTCTGAGCTCAGGGATTCAAGACCAGCCTGGGAAACTTGGTGAGACCTCAATTCTGCAATAAATCAAAAAATTAGCCCGGTATGGTGGTGCATGCCTGTAGTTTCAGCTACTTGGAAAGCTGAGAAGGAAGGATCACCTGAACCCAGCAGGTCGAGGCTGCAGTGGCTGTGAGTGTGCTACTGCACTCCAACCTGGGTGACAGAGTGAGACGCTGACTAAAAAAAAGAAAAAAAGAAAAAAAAAAGTAAGATTCACCTATGGCCCCTGTGGATCATTTAAGACTTAACCAGGATGGAGAACATGACACAGATTTCCTTTCCAGTGCTGGACTTTACTGGATGGTGGGTAGGGAAGGCAGGCAAGGTTTTGCAATCTATGCCTCTGGAGGAAAGTGCCTTTCCTGGGTGGATGCCCATCTGCATTCTCGGGAGGCCACTCACCTGGGAGGCCACTCTCTTGCCTGGGCTGAGGAAGGCCCAGGCCTGGGTCTTCCCTGAGGCAGGTGTGTGGATGGGACGACTCTGGAGCTCAGCCCTCCCTGTTTCTTCAGGTTAGCTCAGAAGTCTCCATCCTGGAGGCGTGGAGGCTGTCCCCTTGCCAGCAGGCACAACGCTGCAGTTCCTCATATTGGCAGGCAGGAGAAGCAGGCCTCGGGCGAGGGGTGAGGTGCCCGCAGTAGGCAGGGATGGCGGTGGCTTCCCAAAGACCCACAGGCTTTCGAGGGCTGCTCAGAGACTCCCCACTTGGCCCTCTGGGCTGGGCAAATCCATCTGCACTGTCTTGGCTCTTCCCTCACCCTCTGTGCCCACCAGTCCCCTGCAGCTGGGCAGCTATGGCTGCATGCTGTCCCTTCTTCCTGCTCCGGCTTCTTCTCTCTCCCGCGACACCACACACCTCATCCTCTCAAACTAAGTGTCACACAGTTGCTTATCACTGTTCCTTTGTGTTTGTTTTCCTTGGCACTGCAACGGCCATCTCTGATGCCTTCCAGTGAGGGTTGGCTCTCACCTGGAAAATCCCACTCTGTTACCCACATCAAGAATTTGATCCCCAGCCCCTTGGCCCAGCCTCTCTCCCACCTCTCCTCTCTGGATCCTCTAGATTGTTCCGTGAGGAGCTAAGCCTTCCTCTTGTCCCCACTATCCCTCTCTCTTCCTTCTGTTGGCACCAACGGCTGGAACTGGCCAGCTGTCCCTTGTCGCTTTGATACAGGACATTGGAGGTATGTGTCTATCTTCCTCTTAGCAGAGGGACCGGCAGCCTCCTGCCTTCACCTGGCTGTTGCCCCAGGTTTCGAATGTGCTGCCCCCAGGTAGTGCGCTGAACAGAGGAGGGTGAGCCCCAAGCTGAATTCAGATCCTTAGACACCATCAGACCAGGACACCAAGAAGACAAGGCTCTTATCTTGTTTGCCTTTGAAACCCCTGTTCTCTGTGCTTCCTTACTTGACTTGACCTTGACTCCTCACTTTGATTTGGTAGCAGAACTGGCCATGGTTGGCAATGTCTTCATCCTGTGCCTTGACCTTGGTGATGATGCTGTCCAGATCCAGGTTGTGGTTGTTGCATGGACAGGACCATGGTGGTCTAGGAGATCTGGGCCTCAAGTTGATCCAACTCTATAGTTGGGCTCAAGCAAGAGAGTTGAAGCAGAGTGTGTGTGCATGTGTGTGTGTGTGTGCATGTGTGTGTGTGTATGCATGTGTGCATGCATATGTGCATGTGCTTGTGTGTGTGTGCATGTGCAAGTGTGGGCATGTGTAGGGAGATTGTGGCCTGTTCCCTGGAACAGACCTTGGCACTGGAGTTCTGCACAACTGGGGTGGAGCACCCTATGTAGGTTTGAGAGGGCTGGGAAAGACATTTGGGAGGTCACTGAGTTTCTTTATCACCAACTCATTTGCATGGGGACTGCAGCACAGTGCTTCTAGCCAGAATTCTCCAGAAGCTATGCCCATTGCTAGGGAGCACACCTTGTTGTGACCTGTCAGCCTCACAATGTATCATGTTCTGAGAACACACAGCCCTTCACACAAAACAAAGAAATTATCTTGTGAAAGAAAACTGAGTAAGAAGGAGCCACAACCTGGCTACCTTCCAATCCTGTTTTCCAGCTCAGCTCCTCCCTTCTCCTCGGGATGGGAAATGGAAACCAGCTGGAAACAGCAGAAAGGGCACACGATCTGCCAGGTACGTTTAGCTGACATCCTGAGTCAGAGGGGCTGATCACAATACTGGATTTGCAGGATTTAGGTGAGGATTAAATGATGTCCATGGGAGATGGCTTCTGAAACAGGAAACCCACAATTAATTTATTTTATTTTATTATTTTTTTGAGTTGGAGTCTCACTCTGTCGTCCAGACTGGAGTGCAGTGGTCGCTTTTGGCCACTGCAGCCTCGACCTGCCGGGCTCTGGCGATCCTTCCGCCTCAGCCTTCCAAGTAGCTGGAATTACAGGCGCGCACTACCATGCCCAGCTAATTTTTGATTTATTGTAGAGATGAGAGCTCGCCAAGTTGCCCAGATGGGTCTCGAACCTGCGGGCTCAGGCAATCCACTCACCTCAGCCTCCCCAAGTGAGGGATTACAGGCTGAGCCACCGAACCCAGCTTTAATTTTGTTAGTGATCACTTTTCAGAGTCACCTAAAGCAGTGGTTCTCAAATGTGACTTCAGACCAGCAGCATCAGCATTGCTTGGAAACTTGTTAGAGATGCAGTGTCATGGGCTCCACCCCAGACTTCCTGAATCAGAGTCAGTGTTGTAGCAAGACTTCTAGAAGATTCCAATGCCCTTTAAGTTTGAGAATCACTGCGCCAAACCATATGTCTAAGTAAAAATATGTGCTCTCTTTATTAATGACTTGTTGATACATTTCTTGTTTTAACAGATTATTATTTTGTTATTGTTGTGCTGCATTTTGTTTTTCCCAATTAGTTTTTCCTGGCTGCTGACCTGTTTTGAAGATCTCAGCCCACGGACTTGCTGGCTGTGTGCTAGTTCAGAATTAAGAGCCAGTACCATGCTAGCTGTCAGCAACGATGAAAATAAGTGGATAAAAGGAAGGCTTTTCATCCCCCGTGGGCTGTGCAGTGTCACTGAGCCCACCCAAAGACTCAGAGCTGGTGCCCCCAGGCCTGGAACAACGTGACCAGTTTCTGTTGGGCGCTACATGTATGTAACCCTACGGGTACCATATTGCCTGTCCTTACACAGCCCACCCTGCACCCCACCCTAATGCCACTGGCCCCTTGTCCACCACTCTCCCCATTACATTGCTGTGGCGTTGACCTTCCCTGGCATTCCTGGGCCATGCCTGGGGGCATTGGACTTCTCATGCCCTCTGGCTGGAACACCCTTCACCCCCTGCCCACCAAGCCTTCTTGGCTCACATCCTCAGTTCCTTCAAGTCTCTTGTCCAGTGACACCCACCCCCAGCCTGCAATTGTCATTTCCATGGTCATGTCTCTTCATTGCCCCATCATGCCTAAAGTGGTGAAGTTAGGTGATTATCTCTGTATTGCCCATTTCCCCCACTGCAATGTGAGCTTTGACAATGTCGAGGCTGGCTGAGTTGGTTCTGCTCTTCTACCTAGAGCCCTGTGAAGCATCCTGCTGTGTCTTCAGAAGAACCAGACTGGCACTTCTGTTTGCTTCCAGAAGCGCCTGAGGGCTCACTCATGGCGACTTGATCTGTGTAATCACCCTGCAGAGTGTTGTAGCAAGACTAGGAAGAGTAGTGGATAACTTGGGGCTGGGCTGAGTGAGCCAAGTTGCTCAGAAGTTCTTTGGAAACCCGTATTCCAATGAGAGGCAGCCCTTTCTTTTGCCTGCACGACATAACAAGCTTGGTCAAGTTTTCCCCTCTCCTGACCCACTGGTTTCCCTGGGGTACCCTATTTTCTCCCTTGATTGGGGAAGCAGCATCTGCCCCATAAATTACCAGGAGTGAGTGGGGTGAGGGCAGAGAGAAGACCAGGGAAGGAGCTGGCAGCTTCTGTGCCCAGGTGAGGCTGCAGCCCCCAGGCCCCATCCCCAGCCCTTCTGGGAGAGCACTGGGCACTCTCACTGATCAGCCACCTCTGGAAATCCCTCAGTAGGTTGATCTCGTCCATCTGGGTGTCTGAAAGGGTCCATTGAGGGGAGGTGGGCTGGTGCTGGTATGGAGGCCATGGAAATAATGCAAGATTGCAACAAGGGAGAAAGTAGAAAGAAATAAAGTTTATTATTCACCTGTCACAGATTGGAAAGGGGGCCGACATTCAGAGGCAAGTGTGGCCTCAAAGGGTCAGGAAATGGGTAGTATTAAAGGACCTTTGGGGTAAGGGGGTTTTGGACTGGAGGAGAGTCCAGGACTGGGGGGCCTTTGATATTGATTGTAGCCACATGAGTGTTAGGTCTTGGGGTTGCCAGACATTACCATCTCATGTCCTCAGGTAGTGGGCTAGATGGGAGGAGACAAGGGGATGGGGGTTTTCCTGCAAGAGGCTTGTCAGACATTTGCAACCCACAAACTCCTTGACCAAAAGTTGGTCTTGTCATTTCTATGGCTTTGGGCAACCAAGGAGTGATCTTTGATCTTCTGCCTTTGACAAGGAAAACTTTCCTAGAGATGATTATGCTAAACCATGAATTGAAATGTTGGGCTGTCCTGGTCTTGTATCTGATAGAGATTTGCTGAGGGAGAAGGCGTAGGCTGCCAGTTTGGCCTGCAGTAGAATGTCTGAAAGCTTCCTAAGACCTGTCTATTGGAAATTTATTGATCTATGTCTAACCTGTGCTAGATTCAAAGCATGTCAGTGGTAAAGTCTAAGCAAAAATGCCTATGCTGAGGCAAAAAGACTACGTTAAACTAGGTTTATTCTAGGTTTCTATAGGTACCTCCTTACAGTGTCCACCTTGGCCTCCAGGTCCACCTTGCCCACATAGGTGGCATCCATGTCCTGGGCACAGAACATGCTATTGCTCTGGGACCCACCCTCCCTGGGTGAGCTCCACCCCCTCTGTCTATGAGTTAGGTGGGAGAACGCCAGCTCCTGGGAATGGGGGCATTTGTCCATTGCAGGTCAGGGAGTGGAACTTGGAAGTAAGGGTGGGGTCCAAACTGTGGGAACGGGGACTCTCAGGGAGGCCCACCTGCTCATGTGCTGGTGCCATGTGGAAAAGTTTCCCATGTCACCTCACCTGGTAAGGACCACCCAATCCCAAGGCCCCTAGGCTTCCCGTCTCCCTACTGCCCAGTCCCTTCCTTCACACACAACTGTCCCCTTCTCCCCGACCCTAGCTTAGGCTGGGGACTGGCTCTCCCCACTGCACCATCCCCAGCCTTTCATCCCTGCCTGCCCCACCAAAGAGGAAGGTCCAGAGCTCTGTGGAGCTGGTATCAGGCTGCCCCCGCCCTCCCAAGCATGACTTGGGTCTTGCAGACAGTTCAACCAGCCAGCCTAGGTTGGTCTCAATCTCCTGGGCTCAAATGAGCCTCTCACCTCGGCTTCCCAAAGGGCTGGGATTATAAGTGTGAGCCACTGCACCCAGCCCCGACTCACTTTTGATTGTCTGGGTAACCCTCGGCAACTTTCTTAACCTTTCACCCTCATTTTTTCACTGTTGAAGTAAGACCTGCTTAAAAGGCTTGTTGTGCAAATTAAATAAGGGTTTGTACGTGAGGCTGCGGGCAGAGGTGGAGCCTGGAGTCAGTAGGGCCTACCCTGTCCATTGACTTCCCGAGCACCACAGACTCACTCTCAGTCGCTGTGTGTCTGTTGATTTCTTGCTCGTGCCTGTGGGAGGCAGGGGAGTGGGTCGGGGTTGGGGCAGGCAGGCAATGGTGGGCCTGACAAACTGACTTAGCAGACGCTCTAGGCAGTCTACTTTCCCATCACACATCTGCCCCAGTCCCAAATCAACAAACAGCCTCCCTATCAAAACACAACCCAGACCCAAAAAGCAACAGCAAAGGACCATCCCTCACACTTTAAGGCTCCTTTCCTCACAGCCTGGCTGCTTGGAGTGTTTGGGTCCCCCCAAGGGAGTGCACGGTGCCTTCTTTTTCTGATGGCCTTGCCCCAAACTGAGGCAAAGGGCAGAACAGAGGGGGAAGAACAGGGAACTGTCAAGGATCGGCAGCCTCCACCCCACGATGCCTGTGGTCCCTCGCCATGCTCAGCCTCACTGAAGCAGTTTTCGGGCTGATAGAAGACCCCTCCTCCCGAGTTTTCTCATTCTTCAGTTTGCCCCTGGACAGTAACCCTACCCTCTCCTGCTCCCCAGGGACACATGGAGGCGCACCCCCCCCCCCCCCCCC